TAAATAATTACCAATGCATTCTTATAAAATACTTGAAAGTTTTTACAAATATAAGGCACTTCATATCTGTAAATCCTTACTACATTTGCACAAATTGAGTAAAAAAAATTCACTATGACATATGCTAATAAAAATCAGTGGTCATATACAAAATTTACATTCAGTTTGGAGTCTAATTTGATCCAGAAATGTATATATACAAATTTCCCCTTAAATTAAATTTTTTCTCGCAGAGAAGGAAGTAATACTTACTTAACAGAACAGATTTTTAATTCAGCTATGAACAAATTACAGCCTTTTTACTAACTTGAAAGGGCTTTGAATGAGACCTAGTAACATCTCTACTATCCTTACGAAATAAAATTGTGCAGCTTTCCTACTGACTTGGAAGAATGCACCTGGAAGTTAACAGAAGTTCACAGAAAATGTAAACAGTAAACAAAGAGCACAACAAGGAAAAATACAGAATATGCCTGTGTACACCTACAAATAAATAAATAAACACTGAATATATGTGAACAAATAGTAAACAAGGTAAAACATTTTCAAACTGTGAGAAGAAAGAGCAGACACTGTATTTTGATAATTAATGTCTGATTCAGTTCTCTTAAAATAACCTTTAACAGGGCAACTACAAAGCTCTGTGACACAGTGTTCCTTGCTGAGTCAAAGGCACGGCTCACATGTGCAGATTTGCCAAAACCTGCCCTCCTCAGTCAGTAGAAGTATTTCAAGCTGGAATTCCTTGTTAATGCACTCAGATTCAGCTCTCATTCTTTATGATAACAGTGCACTTGATTCTCAGATGAAAAATTGGCTTGTAAAATTTTGGTAGCATAAATGGCCTGATCTCCAGTGGGGAAAAAAAAATCTGTATGTTTACACATGCAAAGGTTTACCCATCCTATTCACTGTCCCTGGAGCCTAGTTTGGAGGCATTGACATAACCCAACATCACTGTAACTGGTACATAACAACCCTTTCAGGGAGAAGCTTAAGATGGGTATAGAGCTCATCAAGCTCATTTACCACACAGGCTTTACTTGTTGTGCCAAGACACATTTTTATAACACATTCTTTTAAAAAACACCATTCAAACACTGATAAATTTGAAGTAGCCTACACAAAAGTACTGCATTCCTTTCAAGTGTTTTAACATTTTTATTACGCTCCTCTAACATGACTAAGTGTAAAAACATATTACAGACAATAAGTTTCATAATATAAAGATACAATATCAGTGAAGCTCATTTCAGTTGCTGTGCTAAAAAGTTCACTTCAAATCTTTGAACTAGAATTACTGTTTCTGTATCAGATTTATTCCACAGACACAATTTAATAGCTCTTCCTGAAAAGTTGCTCTCCTGCCATTGATGACAGCAGGCCACCTGCCTCTGTTAATTAGCAATACCATGTCCTGTTGCAGCTCTATAACAAGAAAACAGATTGGCTCTTCGGCTGGAGCATTTTGTTCTGGAAGACCAGAAGCTGTTGAATCTATGTCTTGCTCCTTCAAAAAGGTTTTAAAACTTACTACACCCATGGTACCTCTGCTGAATGCTGCTATTCTGTGACTAAAATTCTCATTGTTTCTAAGTCTTCTTAAAAAAGGATTCTGTAAAAGTCAATCATTCTAGACAGTTCCTTCATTTCAGCACTATTTAAACATACAATTAACATTTCAAAACTATACACATGGATAAAACCAGGTATCATTAGTCACTTATTAGTCACCTTCAAAATAGGCAGTGTGTTCATTTTGTTAATGTCCCTGGAGTGCTTAAAGCAACCTTTTGCATTTTGAGTGGAGGCTCTTCGTAAAAGGTGGCACTTAATAAGAAAGAGCAATTACTATGGCATGTTACTCTCCAGAAGACTGTAGTATGAATTTTAATTTCTTCCTGACCATGTTTCTTCTAAGGCTAATAGAGACATTTTAGTTTAGAAGCAGTAGGAAGTACAGTAAAAGTGAAAAGCAAAATAAGAGGCTACACTAATCTTCTCTGAGTTTCAATTAAGGCCCAGCACCTCTGGATTAAAGGCTTATTTTAACAAAAAGCCTTAATTAAGCATACATGTGTATAGGATCACCTTAATGAGGCATGACAGAAACAGAAGAAATGGCAAATATTATTTTAAAGAAGCTTATTAACAACTTTAGGAAATTCTGTCAAAGATTCCTAAAAAAAAAAAAAGTAATGCAATACTGAAAAGACACAAGAATGTTGAACCAAGTTCAGGCATAAAACAGTGAAACTAAAATAGGTGCAAGAGAGATATTTTTCAGTATCTTTGTATTTAATTGATACATATTAATGATTTTCCTACACATCAGTGGCTTTAATTTTACAAATATTACAGCATTGCCATTTCCATTTAAATTTTAGACAGGAGAAAATAATTTTCTACTTTATTTCCTAATTTAAATTTATTGATAAAAATCTTTAGGAGTTTATATTGTAAAATATCCCTTCATCATCTTACTGAGTTGAATTTAGTGTTTGTCTTAACTTGCAAGTTCACTTTAAAAACCGTTATTTTATCTTTTCATTCCTGCCTTTGGAAACAATCAGTGATTTAATGTCATTTTAAAGATAGCCACTTCAGTTGCTTTTTACATCATCCCCTACAGTAAAGAGAGGTATTCTCATTTGCAGATTTGACTTTAAAGTAATTACTTATAATTACAGAGAAGTGCATCCAATGGATTAATCACTCCATTTATATGCTGCTCGAAGGATTACTCTCAGGACAGCTTCACTGCTTTTGCTTGGAAAATGTCAGTTCCACAAGAAAACAAATCTCTCAAGTCCGTGGCAGCTGAGAAGGACTATGTCAACTATTTAAATCCAAAAAAATAAATGGCACACCTGGACTTAAGACAGCATCTACACCTGTTCTCATTAGAAATAAAGGGCCATCAAGTGAGAATAACCAGGAAAATAGCCAGAGAAAGCCTACACTCCTACTGGGGGGCTAGAGGTACCTTCACATGGTTCTGGATCTGCAAGAAACCTGTCAGTGCTTATGAAAGACAAGGGAGTGCTTCTGGCTCAGGAAGCCAAGCTCTAAAATCCTGGGAAGTCCCTGAAGGAGCTGATACTGTACTAAACAAAGTCTTACCATCCCCCTCAGCCCTCTGCTTTCCAGAGGTGGACAAAGATTGGACATTAAAGGACAAAGCTCTTTGTGTGATCTGTATGGACACCATTCATCTCATACCATTCACCACCATGTTCTCTTTGTATAGAGGATTTTTTTTTTTATGGTGATGACTCTGTTATGGAGTTGCCAAAAATACAGGTCACCCAAAATGGCAGTGAGGAAGCTGATGAAGGATTTGGAACACAAGTCTTATGAGGAGTGACTGAGGGAGCTGGGGATGTTTAGCTTGGAGAAGAGGAGGCTCAAGGGGGGACCTTATCACTCTCTGTGAGTACCTGAAAGGAGGTTGTAGTGAAGTGGGTGTCACTCTCTTCTCCCAAGTAACAAGCTGTAGGATAAGAGGAAACAGCCCCAAGTAGCATCAGGGGAGGTTTAGATTGGATACTGGGAGAAATTTCTTCACTGAAAGGGTTGTCAAGCATTGGAACAGGCTGCCCAGGGAAGTGATGGAATCACCATCCCCAGAAGTGTTAAAAAAATGTGTAGATGTGGCATATACACATGTAGATGTGGCATATAGGGACACAGGTTAGTGGTGGACTTGGTAGTAATGGTTGGACTCAATGTTAGAAACTTTTCAAACCTAAAATATTCTATAAATCTATGATAACTACAGGGCCTACCTCCCATCTTACTTTTGTGTCCCTGCCCATGGCAGGAGGTTTGGAATTAGATGATCTTTAAGGCCTCTTCCAACCCAAAGCATCCTCTGATTCTGTGAAACAGAACAGCATTGTAGGCAGTGGCTCCCCTTTGCTACAGACACTGTTAAAGGGTCTCTCTTCACCTTCTGCCAGACTCCACTACTGAGACACATTCTCCAGCTGTACCAGTGAGGATGTTGAGATCACAGCAGAGCAGCTCCAGCCCCGAAGGGGCTGCTAACATCATCCTTGCTCTGCATGTCACAGGCTTCCTTGTCTACAATAAACTAATCTTGCAGAGCAGTTCAGTGGGATTTATTGCTATGGCTATATTTTTATCTCAGTTCAGCTTGAAATTTGTGGTTCTGAAGCCATTCTGTGTCCATCTGGGTAGTTGACTGGGGGTGAAATAAGGTTGACAGGGCAGGGACACGGTGGTTTATGGATCCAAAGTTCACTTCTGTGCCTGGAGCAGATGTTCTCTCCCATGGGAGCCCTAGGAGAAAACAAGTGAAATTGTAGTGAATTTCTCATCTGCTATTGATGAGACTGTTTCTGCTGAGAAATATTATTCAAATTCTTGTACATGTCTGTTTGTAAAGCCACACTATTCTTGTAAAATCAGCTAAAGGCTATCAATTGGACATCATGATCTTATACTGTGCGATTTCACATCTCTTAAAATAAAGCATAAGTGTGGGGAGAAATGGAGGAATAGGTAGATAAGCCCATTCACTGTATAAAAATAATTCATTCTTATTTATATTCAGTATTCTGGAAGGCAAAGTTAGCCTTTGGGATTGTTTTTAATTATATGAAGTTAAAGTGTGTTTGGGCATGCCAAACTTGTATAGTTCTTAATGGGTTTATTGCATATAATAATTATAGGCTCAGTAATTAAAACTTAAAAATTACTGCTATTTTATTTAATATAAATGATAAATCAAAGATTTCATTTGACTTTTTATAAGTTAAAACTAGGATGTGTCAGAAACATCAATCTTAAATTTCATATTATGGTAATTGTATGTTAGGCTTCAAGTACTGGAGTTGTATGTGTATAAAAGCCTTTGACAAGTCAAAAATATTGGCTAAGAGTGGAGTTTCTTTTATTTTAGTGTAATATGTACAGGTTTAAATAATTTACAACAATAACTATTCAAGATTGGTTGGGAGTTCTTGCCTTTTTAGGGCTGCTCCTCCAAAAGAGAGATGATACAGTTTCTGCAGTTTGTCTACAGGATCATATAATACACACTCATCAGCTCCAGGATTTTTCTTTAGCAGAACATTTTAAGTCAAGGATAAGAGATACCAAGAACATTTACAAACCTGTGAACAAAGAAATGGGCAGAAGAATAGTGGGTACTGGACTAAGAAAAAAGAGCACTGACCACAAAACCAAGGCAGATGCAGAAAAGGAGTATCTTCTTGATCCCAGTACTCCACAGCTAAAGTTAGGTAAACCATTCTGATTTGTATTTTTGGTTTTTATTTAAAATAAACTAAAATGAGGACACTGAAGTTTCTGTTCAGTAAGATAACTTAATGCTAAACAGCATAATATCTGTTTTAAAATTTGACAAAATTCAGCAGTTCAGGCCATTAGGTAAACAATGGAATTGCCATCAGTTGCTTGAATAAGTCTCGTCATATCTGAAGTGTATATTAAAATATTACTCTTGTGACAGTGCAAGTAAAAAGGAAGATAGTGCATCTTCATGAAGACAAATTCTTCATTAAGAAGCAAGAAGAATTTTTAATGTATATTGAGTGTTATAACTTTCTTTACCTTTTATTCTCAAGGAAACAGCAGTGATTTTGATACTGTATTTATTTGGGGAAATATTTTAGCATTAAGATTTTTTTTTTAAGCCTATTTAAAATTGTTTTATTCCTTATTCTGTAAAAAGACATTTACTAGTGCTGCATGAAATGTATACTTCATTAATATCTACCCACCTTTGCTCCAAGTTAAAAAGGTTTGTTTTTACAATGGTCCTGGGGCTAAACCAGGGAAGAATTAACACCTGTAGTTAAATACCTTTTTCAATTTAGAAGCAAACATTCAACAAGATAAAAGTCACAGATGTGAGGGCTTGGAATGATGCCTGGTGAGAAAATTCACTTCTAAATAGTATTATAATAATATAGTTGTGGAGCAGCAACAGATGATATTGCTTAGAAAAACAAAGCCAGGGAGCATCTTAACAGACCAGGAGAGCAAATGTGCTTCCTATCTTTCAGTTTTAGCCTTGCATTTCCCTTTTCTAAAGGCTTCAACATTTTTATATTTTTCCCATGAATGTCTTCTTGTCTCCATCCTTTCAAGCTGCCTTGATTAGGCATTACTTACAGGGTCACCTGGCTCCACAATTTTCAGTTTTAAACATAATGAACTTTCATCGTCCTTAATAGTTGTTTTATTTATTCTTTTTCATAGAAACAGCCTTGGGCTTCTCTGAAGATCACGTTGCCTTTGCTATAGCAGAGTCCCAGCTCTAAAGGGAGCCATGTGACTCTCGCTACAAGCAAAGGCATCTTCCTTTTGGAATCAGCTGGAGGTTAAGAGGGAAACTTCAAATAACAAAGAAGTGAGTGTAACAAGTGACAGGACAATGGTAGTAAAACAAGCTGATTATTACTATGTTTACATGGTTATAGTTCTAAAGATGGGCGGGGTTTTTCTTTGGTTCATTTTGAAGAGAGGATAACGGAGGGGAAAACAGCAAAGAGGTACCTGGGTTAACACAAGTATCGAGTGATTGTGGAAGCTAAAGTTTGTGGTGAAAAAATGCAGCCCAAGTGTTAACATGTTCTCTGCAATTATAAGATGAAGCACTTTCTCTTTAAATCACAGCACTTACTGAAATGTCCCATATAAATGTTTGTGCGAGTTATTCAAAAGAATGTGCTAAAATATTTTTTGAAATGGAAGATGTTTCTGGGTTTTGTTTTTTAGAATTTTCACCTGTAGTCTCACATTATTTTAAAATGCTTTTGCCAAGCTTTCTTAATAAGAATTGTGTGGTTTAAAACTTGCAATTGTGAAACAAGTTTGAAAATGTAATTCAATGTAACTTTGTCTTCTTGAGTTTGTGGGAAATCAAACAAAATCACATAGGCCTCTATAATTCCTTTTTTTTAATAGGCACTTGAGTCTGAAAATCAAATAATAATAGTTTCAAGGTTAATGCATGCAATCATTTTGATAAGCTTCATTTTAGGATAAATAACTTTGATGTAAATTGGTGTGTTAATAGATGGGTTGGGCTTATAAACTTGATGCATAAGGATGAAAATTCTTGAATGTCTTGAGCTGTGATAAATGTAAGTTTTCATTACTTAATTTTTTTTAAAATGCTGTTTTGAGAATATCTTCACAGAGTCTTTTGCTTTGACCACACATCCCTTCTTGTGTGTCCTGCTGCCAGTTTTCCTTCACCAACTATGTAGTATAAAATCTTTCCTTCCAAACACCTGTATAACCTGTACCTCACAAATATCCCAGCTGGTTTGTATCAATTTGCAGTTAGGTTTTGCCACCAATACCTTCCAGTTTCAATAATCCATATGTGAAAATTTTAAATATGCTTTTTTTTTTTTATACCCCAGGGATATACAGGTGGCTTCCCACAAAGCCATCTCATTTTCTTCCTTAAAACAAAACCAGTCTCTGACCACTGTAGTTGGAAGGAAATCAAGGGCAGGCACTTTTTTGTTGTGATACTCTCTTTCATGCTATGACTGCTTTACTTTTTTTGTTCACTCCCTCCGTACCCAGATTTTCTCATCATTGCTTGTACATATTGGACTATCAAAATGGGACCTTGTTTCTTGAAACCTTTACAAGGTAACAAAAGTAATGATGTGGTCTATGTGAGCAAAACTACATGCAGCTAAATCACTGTTCACATTGTTCCAAAAGCATAAACTGACCCAGCTTGAAACCTCAAATCCATCCTGTTGTTCTAAGATATGGATTCAAACAGATTTACGTTTGAAGGATGTCATGACCTCACAAGGAAGTAGGGTAGGTACATAGTTCAACCAAAGGGAAGAAAGTATTCCTTATAATTTCTTTAGCACCTCACAAAAGTTCTCTAAAAAGATCAAAGGCAGTTTGTGCAAATTTTAGATGATTAATGATATACATCTGTAGATGGATGTCTCAAAAATTAACAAATCCTGTCCTAGAATAATGAGATACTTGAGTGAGGGGATCACCAAAACCCCATTCTTTGGTTTGCTAGAATTCCTTTTCCCTTCATGACTAACTAGTACAATGTATTTGGAAACACAAGCTGCCTGATAGGGTTTTGAAAGCTTATACAGAACAAATATGTCTTGTACAGTAATGTCAGATTTATGCAAAGACTCTGGTATGAATGAGTTTACCCTTTCCTTCCCATTTAGAGCTAGAACTCTCATCCAGGTGCCATCAGTTTTCGTTGTAATTATCGCATATCCCTCTTCCTTTCTTGTTTTGTCAAATACCATTGAAGCCTCATCATGGACTCATGTTTTTGGCTTATTACACATGCCTTGGACATTCCTCCATGGATTTTGGTAAATCCACACAGGCTGCTTCTTCTGGTCTTCAAAGATAGAAAATATCTATTCTTTGTTGTACCTACCAGTATATTTTTTTACTACTAAGATACCGACTCTGGGCTTTATCTGCCATTTGTGGGGGCAGGCAGGAATACTGTAAGTATTTTCACTGATCCCTTCTTTAAGAAGGCAGAGATTTCACATGAACATACAGCAAGGCACCTCACAGTTATCATTTAAGATCAACAAGCTCAGCAATCACAGTGAACTATCCCTGGCGTCTTGTGGCAATATCTTTGTTTCTTTATGCTCTTTATTTCTATTGCATATGTTACAGTTTCATCACAATTCAGTATTTTGCAGCTGCAACAGTTTTTTATTATACCACTTTATTCATTTTTATTTTTAAGAATACATAAATGCAATGCTGGAGAAAACTTCACAAATTAATTCTAACAGAGATTTTATTTATACTGAGGATTTGAAATTATGTTATTGTGCATTGTTACATTGTTTAGTTAATCCCAGTTTAATGGCTCTGAAAAGGTAACAAAATAAATCCAAATTACTCACAAACAAAAGTTTACATTAAAAAAATCCTATATAAATCCTCTAAGTAAAAGAAGTTCTGATAGTTACTGAATAGTTAATTCATTAATGGTTTGAGTTGGAAGGGACCCTAAAGATCATGGAGTTTCAAGCCCCCTCTCATGGACAGGGACACCTTCCACGAGACCAGGCTGCTCCAAGGCCCATCCAACACGGCCTTGAGCACTGCTCAGGGATGGGGCATCCACAGCTTCTCTGGACAACCTATGCCAGGGCCTCACAGTGAAGAATTTCTTCCCAATATCTAGTTCAAACCTGCCCTCTATCAGTTTGAAGCCATTGCCCCATTGTCTATCACTCCATGCCCTTGTAAAAAGTCCCTTTCCAGCTCTTTTGTAGCCCTTTTAGATACTTACTATGAAGAAGTATGTTGCCTGTCAGTGGTTTGTCTGATGTTATTTTGCACATGACATGGCAGAGGAAGGTTGGTAGTACTTGTTCACTGCTTAAGTTATGATAGTAGAGAAGGTAATCAGCCTTTTTATCTGTTCTTTCAAAGCAGGTATAGATTATTTTCTGCTTCATTTAAACTCCTGTTAGATATGATCCTGGCCTTCATTCATCAGAATGCTAAAAACACTCGCTATTTATACAACCTAAGATATATTTTGTTTTCTCACAAGTTTCATTAATTGCAGTTTAGTACAATAGTTATTTCTATTTGGGAAATGGAAATAGATGTAGACTTAATACCAGTCAGTTACTTCCTTAGGTTATCTGATGAAATTCCTGCATTTTACCTTGATGGCTTTGTTCAATGCATGTGTGTAGCATAAGCATAAATACATCATGCTTTATTACATTCTCTCATCTATCATCTTGAAAATATTAAGCAAAAGGGACAAGTGACTGATTGAAAAGAGTGCTGCTTCAGAGAGGTGATGATGGCAATTAGAAGAATTATCCCAACTGCTTGCAAGTTTCTTTCTGCAGTGCATATTTAGGGTAGTTTTTTCTGCCTGTTGTCCCTTTTAATTTTTCAAGAAGACTTTTTACAGCCAAGTCTGTAATGTGAATCAAAGCCTTTCAATAACCTTAGATGGAGAGGTTTTGCTTCCTTTTACATCAACTGAAAGTGTATGACTGTCCAAAGACGGGTAGGACAGATCTGGCAAAAGACCATTCTGCCAATTTTTGGCTACCCTGAAAGTCTAAAGTTTGACAAGAGAGAGCAAAAGACAACACTCATTAAAAAGGTTACTTCAGATTTGGCACAAAAAAGGGAAATGCCTCTGGAATTCTTTTTGTCCTCGGTGTTTCGTGAGCTTTCCTTCCTCAAGGGAAAAAGCCACTGTATCTGAAAGCTTTGCCTTCAGCTGGCTGCTGGCCATTAATCCTCTTGTACTTGCCAGCTCAGAAGTGCTCACTACTTGTTCACTCTTTTCCCAGCTTTTCCTTCCTCTAAGAGCCAACTGCCTTTGTTGTCCAACTCTATGTCTTTTGTCAGGATGTAGATCATCAGCATTTGGTGGGAATTTAGGTCAGATAAAGGTGAAGTTTTCCTGTAGCCTGTGAACATAGTTTCTCTTTTGGTTTTGTTTTGTTTGGGGGTTTTTTTGGTATGCGTGAAATGCTGCATTTGATGTGTATCACTTCTCTAAATTTAACATCTCTGTTGGGAAAAGGGAAGAAAATTAATCAGCTTTCATTTTAAGTGTTTCTTTTATAATCTTTCCTCCAGTCGGTAGCATTTGGCATTTCTTCCTTTCTGCCACTCCATGCATTGTAAATACAAAATTCACAGATACACAAACTAATTTTATTTTCACTGGAAAGACTGTGGTAGTAACAGACAGAAACTGATGACCTTTCAGGCAGTCAGATTTTTTCTTGTCAGCGTTTTTTACTTTTAGAATGCTTTAAAGTCAGGTTTAGTTCTTGGGGTTATTTTTCTCCTTTGAAAGAACAGGTGCTGCATTCATGTTCCCATGTACTCCATAAAGTGAGTACATTTTCATATAACTATTCAAGCACATAATAGATGAGTATTTTAATTAAACCACTTAAGTGAATATCTTAATGACTTAAATGTAATCATCTTGAAAAGTAATTTTGATTCCAGATTTTTATGATAAGAAATATAATTTAAGGCTATTTTATGATGAAGCACTTTATTCTTTTTTATTACCTTTTTAAAAACTGTATGGGAAAGTGTAGTTCCTAACTGAGCTATACACGGATATACTAAGCTGGAGTACTTTAATTCATGAAATTTCGTGCAAACATATGGAGATTTACAAAATGCTCTTAACACTTTAATTTTAAAAATATGCATCTTGTAGAGTGTTCATGGATTGATGAATAAACTGTTTTTCTGTGCCAATGAGATTAAATATAAGCAATTGTAATTATTTTTTCAGGCATGCCTGAAAACCTTTGGAAAATTTACAGGCAAAAAGTTGTTCTATGTGTAGAAAAGAGCAGTATCAGACCAAAGTGATACATGATGTGGCATTTTTGGTTATAATAAAAGTGTGCTATTAGGTAAGCTTTACTTCTGCTACCCATGTGTCACTGGACTGTATCTGTTTCTAAATAATATTCCAAAAGTGTTAAACATTTGATAATAGACAGAATGAATGCACTGCAAAAGTTAAAGTTTGAAAAAATGCGTAAAATTATTGTTTCATATAAATAGGTATATTAGCTCGAGTTTCCTCCTCTTGAGCAAAATTTCATCTTAGGGAATTCAAGCTTTCTGGAGGGATATATTGTTAGAAAACTGTAGAAAGACTTGAGAGAAACAGTGCCTCCTAAGGATAGTGTATTAAGAAAGCAATTATTTGAGAAAATGTTATGTTGCATTCGCTTCTTTGGTCTGCTTCTTTTGTGTGATTCACCTTCCTTAAATCAGAACTCCTAAATATCAGTTCCCTTCTTTTTCATTTGTTTCTTCTTATTCGTATCAAACAGGCAGCACGGGAGTCACTCAGTTGTTTTGTTAGTCTGTTCATTCCACTTAGAAGGAAAATGATTTAAATATTTAATTTTAAGGCCTGCCAGCTGCCTAGGTCAACAATATTGGGCTTTTTATGAGGCTCTATGTTTTCCCTTCTCTTTTTGATAGATCTCAGTGATCTATTTTCCTATAGAATCGTATGAAGGGGGTACAGTAAGGGGAGAAACAAATAAATCCATGAACAATCATTACTTCCTTTCACCATTGCCGTCCTCTCACTGAACACTGAACCAGGTAGTTCCATTCCATTGCTTTGCCCCTCTCTAACTTCTGCTCAGAGAGCAAAAAGAGAGCTTTGGAGTACAGACCCCCTCTTGCTATATTCTATGTTTCTCTATGACAGTGAGATTGTACCCTAGAAGGGTCCTGGCAGAGTGGTGGAACAAAACTGGTGCTGCTGCTCTACTCATGTGCTGACAGTGGCAGGAGGGAAACACTGCTCTCAGCTTTAAGGCTGAGACAGACTGCTGCTTGCTGTGCTGCCTCTGGAATCAATGAAAAGTCCTTCCCTGTAGCAGAGAAAATGAATATGGGGGTGACTGAAGAAAGCTGATGTTACACTCAAAAGTGTTCAAGTACTTAAGTTTGGAATAAACGAATCCATTGGTGGGGCGTGACTGTCCTCAAGAAGCGTTATGAGAACAGAAAAGAGTAACACTTAGATCTTTCTGCATGAAGGACCAGGGAAGCAGCCATATGCTTCTTTCCCAATAAGGCTGTCAGTTTTCCATGGGCCCAACATACTATGCTGAGCTATGAACAGGGTGTCACTAATGGGAAGTTGAAGAAGGTTCCTAAAGTATCATCTGTCAAAATTTCTGCCACAGAACTTCAGATGGCTACAGCAGCAATCTACCAAGCTACCTATGGTGGGCTGGCTTTTAGGGTCCCTGTTTTTTGTACCTAATTTAGGGAGAAAAAGCTTGATAGACTGCTCACACTTCATCACGCAATTATAAAAACCATGGGCAGGTCTTCATTCAATATAGTTTCCATATATAGTCCACAGTAGTAGGAAATCATTTTCATATGTAACACTTCAGGATTTTGCCGGGAACAAAACAGGTACCACTTTTTCACCTTCTATTAAGAATACATTTATAGTCTTCTCATAACAATTAGCCAGGTTTAAATGAATTCAGTACTTGTTGTGATTAAAGGATATGTACTTATTTTTCTTAGTGGCTTTCAAGTGGCAACAGGAGATGAGTTTTCCTGCCATTCACTCTTATACTTTTAAGTGTTGGTTAATGAAAACACTAAAGCAAGTTTTCACAAGGAGCTATCCATTTCCAGATGTTAAAAAGCTTTCCTAAAATAAAACTTGCTTCTCAAAATTGTGCTGTGCTTTTAAAATGTCACTCCCTAAACATTAGCATAACCAAAAGGGGTCACAGTTGGGAAAAAAACTAATTTATTTTTTAATAACCCTGCCGCCTCTGGAAGGATCACAAAGGTTAAATGTCAAGTCTCATACACTTAAATAAATATCACAAAATAAAAAACAAGGTCTGAAATATTAGTACTGGGACGGACACATATTACTTGTTTCAGGGTGCTACAGTAGCCCTTATTACACCTGCCATTAAAATTTTTAATAATCTAGATCAAAGTAGATAAGAAAGGTCACTGAAACCAAAGTAGGCTACTTTTTAGCACTACTATACACAGAGAGCAGTGTGTTGCTTCAGCATGTTAGGTAGTGAATTTCTTTGATCCTATCTATAAATGTCACTCTGTATGTCATTTAATTGTGGTATAGTCTTTTATTGGTGCAATTAAATCTTTTCAAATGCATTACATTATCTCCAGCTCCGCTAAAAATCTTGCCATTGTTTAGGAAGCGAGGTAAGTCATTGTGAAATGATGCAGTTGACTTTAGTTTCTTCCTTCCCCCTCCACATGATTTCTCCCAACGATTTTAATTTAAATCTCACCAAACAGTATAATGGTCCTGGAATTTGTTTAGTCGTTTGACTTCCTTTATCACACGGAGATGGTAAACATTCTGTTGCTAACTTGAAGTGGCTCCAAGCACCAAAACTAGGAGGATATTAAACCAGTAAAAGCTTATCAACTGATTCATTGATATGCTGTAAATTCCAGCCTTTTCATTTTACTTTTGAGGGTTGCCATAAGTCAACACATTAGTAAGCAATTTGCTGACATTGGATCACTTAAAAAGGCTCCCCTGTGGACAAAGTTCACCTCGGCACTTTGTTTCACCGTTTCATTTTATCATAGTCTTGTGCTGCTGTACAGATGACTGATGCAGTTTTGCATACCAATGGGGTATTTCACATACTCTGTTTGTGCCATTCTAGTCGAGCTTTCAGAAGTTACAGACTTAAAACATAGAGGCATGGTGTTTTCAGAAATAAATTCAATCAATCAGTTTCAGTTGTTTTAGGGGGGGGAAATAAAAGGTTATTCAGTATTATGCATTAAAACAGCAGGATTTAATATTTAAATCCCAGAACATGTTAACACTAACAAATTATACAAAATGCTGATTTCCTTTCTGTTCGCATTGATAGTTTAGGCTGATTTGCCAGCTAGCAAAACTTCTGGATCACATTTCAGCTATTTTTTTTTTTTTCTTCCCAACCTTAGACTTTATTTGCTGATTGATGGATGTGAGTTGGGTCAGGTCATAGTGCAGAAAATACAAGAGTAGCTCAGAGGAGATAGTATCTTAGCAGCAGAGGAACTTCATGGACCCCTGTCTCAGGCAGAAGAAGAGTTTTCCACTTTATTTTTACAGTTCCAGCTCAAGGAGGCTCAGGAAAGGACTTTCAGGATCACTTAGTGAAACAGGGAAAGGAAGTGCAAGCTTGGGGAACAAACTGAGGGCTTCTCACTGCTAAGGGAAGAAGGAACAAGCAGCAGACGCACAGAGAGGGGCTTAATGTGTCCCAGCCCACGCTGCCCCCTGCCCTCAGCTCTCCCTGGTGGTCAGTTGTCGTCAGCAGACTGTCTAGTCCGAGTTCACAGACAGAGGGCAGGTCCTGTAAGTACTCCCTGCGTTCCCTCCCATCTCCCATTCACAGAAATAGACCCTGGATAAGGGCTGAGTCACAGCATGGTTGCTATTCTTCAAACTTTGTGTCCTGAGTAGCTTTTGAAAAGCACCATCGTGGCTGCTCTACCTTTCTGTTACCTCCCTCCTCACCTGCTTACAAACACAGGCCAGGTCTGTTCAAGTTTGATACCCATATAAATGAAGACCAAGCAAAAATCAGGAGCAAAATTGTTTTCAAATGGATCGACCTTTACTTGATAGTGAACAGAAACCATAAGCTATATAAGGGTTAGGTGTCATCTTACCTTGTATTTCCTGAATTTAGGCTTTAAAATTAAATCAGTAAGAGCAGTTAAAATTACAATGTGGAGTAGATTCAGTTCTAGTACCCAGGTAACAACAGTTCAGGTACACCTTACTAGGGTTGTTGTTGCTTAATTGAATACATAATCACTTTAGAATATTAAAGACATAACCTAATTGAAATTTAGTGCATTAGTATTTCATGAGTCCTTCAGGGAGCACATGGTGTCATCGTTCAGGATTGTTTGGGGATCACAAAGTGTAAATATTGAAGGAGGCCTGTGGTGGGATCCTTGTTTATTTGTTTTCTGTTTTACACATACCACCCAAGGTCAGTGTGCAGGTCTGTGTGGGAGACACTCAGATTTGTCTTTCCTGTCAGTGAGCAGTCGTGAGAGGAAGCACAAGGTTCCCCATCTGCTCTTTGCTACACACAGAATTCTCTTACAGGCAACACAAGGGGCTGCTGCTTCTCTCATCACATTGGGATTTAAATACACTATACAAGGGCTCTCGGGGAACTTTTCTGTTATGTTAAATTGTTAAATCAGCATTAACTAACAAGGAAACTAAATCCAGTTTGTACTGACACACGGATACATTCTTTCAATAAACTGTTGTGTTAGGGATCATTTGGAAATACATTGAGTTATAACAGTTCAAAATTAGAAGCGAATCAGACCATAGAATCAAAAGAACACATGGGATCAAATCTGATATTTCGCAGGAAATTCAGGAAATTTTAAGTTTATACAAAATCTTAGAAGGTTAAGTGAGCTCTCCACATACTTTCTGTGGCCTTTTTTTAGGATTTGGACTGTTGATTCTCTGGGTCTAGAAAAGTTGACTTTGAATATTCTGATATATGCTATGAAGGGTCACTTTAGTAGGAAGGAAGCATTAAAAAAAAAAAAATTAAACAATAGGAAAGTGTTCATGTGCCATCAGGCTGCCTGACCTTAAGCTCAACCCTTCTACCACCTCACCTTCCACTTCCCAACCCACACTCTCTGAAAAAAATGGCTCCTTGTTTTCCGATCAGGTTTTCACTCACAGGAAATGCATGGAGAAAAAGGCTCATGTTGTATGATCATGGTACAGGTGTCAAAATGTTCCTTAAAACTGCTGTATTTAGGAGCAGTGACACAAAGGCAAGCCTAAGACTTGTGTGAGTCCCTGCAGAGATTTGATACTGTGGTGCATTGAGAGAAACCCACAGCAAGCTGGGATTGCACTCAAGGAGATTACTAAGTTCAAGAAAAGCATTCACTGCTTTTAGGTATTTATTTTGCTGAGCACAGGTGGGAGCATCTTCAGCTATGAAGACAAGACTTCTCAGGCCTATATGCAATATGTGGAAATATATTTAAGGCAGTAGGTCATAAAAATCCATATTGAGGACAACAACTGAGATGTCTCTTCTCTCACTGCTTGTCAAAAAAAAAAAAAAAAAAAAAAAAAAGAAGAAAGAATTACTGAAGACATAATGCACTACCAGGGCTCAAGCTAGAAGGTTTCTGTGTCCACTTGAGTTCTGCATTTCTAGGCACGCATGAACATCCCCACAGGCAGCAAAAAG